TCTATCTTCCAGTTTACTTCCCTAAAAATAACGTATGTACACATATAATATTATAACAATGTAAAGGAGATCATGATTAAATACGAGAATGAGTGAGTGCTGCGGCCACTAGTTTAGACCTTGAAACGCAAGACCATGGTGGGCTGGACATGTCAGGAAGATAGGGACTCTGTCTTGTTTTCTGTGTGTCCCAGCAGCCAGTTAGAGCAGATGCTTAGTAAGTATTGGTTTTTTTCTTTCAAAAATTGTATTTATTTGGGGCCAGCAAGTGGTTAAGGGCACTGGTTTCCCACATGGTTGACTGCAGTTCAAGTCCCGAACCTGGCAGCTTGCTTTCTCTTTCTCTTTTTCTCTGTGTCCCTCTCTGCTCAAATTAAAATAAAAAAATAAAAGTTAAATAAAATAATTCTTTTAAAATTTATTTATTTAATTTTATTTGTTATTATTTTTTAAATTTGACCAGAGAGAGAAAGAGAAAGCAAGCCACCAGGTCCAGGACTTAAACTGCAGTCGGCCATATGGGAGTCCAGTGCCTTAACTACCACGCCACCTGCCAACCCTCCAGTAAATATTGATTATGGAAATGATGGAAATTTGAACTCTAGCTTGAAGGTGGAGCTGAATATGTTCAAATCTGAGGGATTTTTTTATCCCTGTTTTTTTTTTTTAATTTTAATGCCATCTATTGTGCTTTGTTTAGCCTTTCATTGTTCATTGTGTGAACTGTTTTATATCTGTCTAGTGAATTAATTTAGGTAGCCATTTCTGAATGACACAATGAAAATGAATGTGGCTTCCAAGGCCCTGCTTGATCGGCTCCTGCTTGTTCCCTACATCCTCACCTGTCTCCACCTCATCTTAACATTTGACACCAGTCTTCCTCCACTAGCTTCCACAAGAAAATTCAGCACTCTGGGGAGGTGTTTCTTCATTCTCCCAATAGGTACCTTATAGCATTAGCATTCACCTCCTGCAGAACCCCAGTAGAGAAGGAGGAAAGGGCAGCTGTTGACCCTACCAGGTTGAAGGCCTTTGGTTCTCTTTTTTACCTCTAGGCCTTTTGCAGGCTATGTACCCTGTCAAGGATATTTTTCTCTGCATCTCTCAGCCTACCTAACTTCTATTATCTTCGAGGTCTCAACTAAAATGTCACTTCCTCCAGGAAATATTCTTTGATTCCCATGCCTTAAATCTTAGACATATGCCCCTGTTATGGACATCCTGTGTGCTCTGTTACTAACATTTATCATTCTGTTTTATAGTTGTTTGTTTCCTTATCAGTGTCCATAAACCCCCACTACACCCCTACCCCTATCTAGACTGGAAGCTCCATGGAGGCAAGAAATTGTAATTGTGTCCCCACAGTCTAACAAGGTACTTGGTTCAGTGAGCACTAGCTGGGACGGGCCAGCCTGGGAACACAGCTGTGAAGCCCTAAACAGGAACCAGATCCCATGTGACCAACCAGGACAGAGGACCACATAGGTTATATAAATGTTTCCTTTTGCCTTTTCCAACCTAAATGTAAGGTTTATCCCAATGGTTAATTTTTTCAGGTAACACTAAACCTCTCATATTACTAGTAAACTACCAGTTAAAAACACTTTACTACCGAGGGAGGAAACTGAGACAAAATGCTGCTTGTACGGTGGCCTGTGCCCCTGGGGCCCCATCACCATCGTCCACTCATCCACTGTATGCTTATTAATAGACATTTACTTAGCACCAGCAGTGTACCAAGTGCTCTTGAGCATATCCTGTAACTTGTGTGTTATGTCTAGGTACACAAGTTCCTCTTTCCTAATCAGTGTCCTTGGCCTTTATGTAGTCACTCTACCCTTTTTTAAAAAATAAATTTATTTTATTTTATTTTTAAATTTGCTGTTGAGTACATGTGCTCACCAGAGAGAGAGAGGGAAAGTGAGAGAGCAAACTGCCAAGTCTGGGACTCAAACTCAAGTCATGTGAAAATCCAACACCTCAACCACCATGCCACCTGCTGGCCCCTGTCACTTTATTCTTAGAGTCAATGAAAGCCTGACCAGTGCAGACCTATCCTACGTTCTGTTATTCGTGTTGAACAACAGGACTGATACCCATGTTTCCTGTTTATTTTCCATGTTCATGATTTATAGGCCTCACATTGAATGCATTGAATATACCAACAAGCTTAGAGACCAACAGCCATCTGACTCACCCATTCTCCAACTTGCCAAGGAAATTGTAGTGGGAAAATCTGCTTCAGTAGTGTCCTAATATCCATTGAGCCTAATGCATTTCCCAGAATGTCCTTGTGCCCCAAGGCAATCTCAGACTACTACCCCCTCCACCCTCATCTGGCCAAAAAAATTTTTTAAATCTATTCAGTCCCACTTTCTAGTCATCATATCAGGATCACGGCACTCATTCTTCTCCACCCGAGATTAGGCTGCTGAGAAGCCACCCTTTCATATCCACCTGAACTTGTCCAACAGTTTCATCTTCCTATCTTGCTTTGTCTTGTTTTTATACTGGATGAATCATGCATATATTTTACCTATTTGTAAAATTATGTTAATAAATATTTGGCCTACTCTACCACTTAAAGATGTTATAAGAATTGGGACCGACGGGAATCAGCAGTTAGCGTAACGGCTATGTCGCTGGATTCCCACATAGTCGACCGCAGTTCGTGTCCCGGACCCGGTGGCTTAAAACTCACGCCGGGCGCGTGTGCGTGCACGCCCAAGATCCTGAGAGGAGAATGGAGGAGAAGGGATTGCGGCGTGACCATCCCCCCTGGGGGGTGATTTCTCGCTTTCTGTCTCTATGTCTCTCTGTCTGGTGAGCGCACGTGCCCTATAGTGAAAATCTCTCCAAAAAAAAAAAAAAAAAACACACACACACAGGGCACATATGTATGTGTGTCCAAAATCTGAGGAAGACACATATATAGTAGTATCACTACTGAGGTATGATGAGAGCAACTGTAATCATTTTAAATCATGGATAGCCTGTGGTGTGGGGTTAAGGCAGCTGGATCTCACATGGTTGACAACATGGTTTAAGTCCTGGACCTGATGACTTGAGAAACATGTCAGGCATGAGAGCATATGTGCCCCAAGTCTCCAGAGGACAATGGAGAAGAAGGGGCTGTGGCATAGCACCCCCACCCCACCCCTGGGGGGTGCTTTCTCACTCTCTGTTTCTCTTTCTGTCTCTCTCCAGTGAGTGCACATACCCTATAGGAATCTTTCTTTTATTATTTTAAATGGGACCAGCAGGTGGTATGGTGATTAAGGTGCTGGATTCTGAGGATCATGCATGGTGATTTCTCGTTCTCAGCCTGAAGGTAGCTGGACTGCCAAGATAGTCAATGTACCTAAAACTCAAAGGACTTTCTGTAAGAAATGTGGCAAGCATCAGCCTCACAAAGTAACCCGGTATAAGAAGGGCAAGGATTCCCTGCCTGCCCCCAGAAGCAGAGTGGCTAAGGTGGGCAGACAAAGCCGATTTTCCGGAAGAAGGCTAAAACCACGAAGATTGTCCTAAGGCTCGAGTGTGTTGAACCAAAGTGCAGATCCAAGAGGATGCTGGCCATTAAAAGATGCAAACATTTTTAACTGGAGGGAGATAAGAGAAAGGACCAGGTGATCCAGTTCTAAACTTTGAGATTGCTTTGTTCTTTTAATTTTGAGCAGAAAATGTTGAAGATACAGAAAGTTTACCTGTAGAAAAATAAGTGGTGATATTCTTAATAAAAAATTAAAAAAAATAAAAGTGCTGGATTCCACTTGCTCAACTACACAGTTCAAGTCTAAGACCCAGCTGCTTGATAACATGCCAGATGTGTTGTGTGCATGTTCCTGAAAAGAAGTGGAGGAGAAAGGATTGTGGTGTGGCCATACCCCATGGGAGGTGTTGTGTGGGATATTCTGTGGACTCTTGCCATAACTTCCTCTTCCCTCTAGTCTGCCCTCTACTCTTCTTTGTGTTTCATTTTCTGTTCCATAACTATAGTTACCTTTTTAGAAGATAAGTGATCAGAGAATGGCCATACTGCAATCCCTTCTCCTCCATTCTCCTCTCTGAATCTTGGGCACAAACCCACATGTACCCAGTGTAAGTTTTAAGCTGCCTTATTCACAGCTCAAACTGTGGTCAACTACATGGGAATCCAATGACATAACCATGTGTTTATTTTTTAAATTTGACTGGAAAGAGAGCAAGAGGGAAAGTGAGAAAGCAAGCTGCCAGGTCCAAGACTTGAACCATGATCAGCCATGTGGGAGTCCAGTGCCTTAACCACCATGTCACCTGTTGGCCCCAGGATTCTGGTTACTTTTCAAGTTACTTAACAGAACATACCCTTATGATGTGGGAGGAGAGTTGCATTCCTAGAAAGGCCCCAAGGGCCACCCTGGTAGCCAAGTGATTAAGGGAGCTGGATCCCACTCACATGGCCAACTACATTTTGAATCCCAACCCTGGCAGCTTGAAAAACATACCAGGCTCATGTGTGTCCCCAAAATCCCAACAGGCTGGAGAAAGGGAGGAGAAGAGATTGCAGCATGATCACACCCCATTTGGGGCTGCCTTCTTCCTCTTTCTCTCTTTGGCAAATGCTCATGCCCTCTGACAATTTAAAAAAAGACAAAGTCGAGACCAGCAGATGTAATGGTTACATTGCTGGACTCCCACGTAGTTGACCACAGTTCGAGTCCCAGACCCAGTGGCTTCAAACTCATGTCAGGTGCATGTGCAGCATGTGTGCCCAAGATTCTGAGAGGCAAATGGAAGAGAAGGGATTGCAGCCCTGAGGGTGATTTCTTGCTTTCTGTCTCTGTGTCTCTCCAGCCAGTGCATATGCCCTTTACCAAAAATCTCTCTTTAAAAAAAAGTAGAAGAAAGTCCTCCAAGAGGTAACTGATTTTCTGGAGATGAGTGATATTCTGAATTTACTTAGGTCGAGGAGCTGTTTAGTCTAGTCCCAGTGGTTAACTCTCTTCTCTTTTCCACAGGCAAACAACTGGAAGGCATCTGGTAAGTTGGACAGGACTCCCTATGTTGACTGGCTTATGAAGAGAGCAGCACTGTTCATCCTGGGGTCCAGTCTGTGGCTACCAGCTTGCAATCTAGCAAGTCCTAAAGCAGTGGTTCTTCTCCAAGAGTCATGTTGTCCCTCACCCTGGGACATTTGGCAGTGCCTGGAGACATTTTCGATTGTCACAGCTGGGGACATTAGTACCAGCATCTAGTGGGTAGAGGTCAGGACTGCCATTCAGTATCCTAGAATGCACAGGACAGCCCTTGACAAGGAATTACCCAGCTCCAAATGTCAACCCAGGTTGAGCATCCCTTATCCAAAATGCTAGACACCTGAAGTATTTTGAATTTCAGAATATTTGCATATATATAAGATGAGATATCTTAGGGGATGGGACCCAAGTCTGAACACAAAATTTGTGTCTTTTGTGATACCTGATACCCATAACCTGAGGGTAATTTTATACAGTATTTTTGTATTGTAACCATTTGGCTACAACCTGTCACGGGAGGTTAGGTGTGGAATTTTCCACTTAGGGGATCATATTTTGAATTTCAGAGTACTTCAGACTTTAGATTTTTAGGTTATGAATGCTTACCCTGTAGTACTAAGGCTGAGTAGCCCTGATCTATGTTATTATCTTAAATGTGAACTTGGAGGGCTGGTCGCCACAGGCATGACCTTGGGCAGAAATTACTCTCATTGCAGTGTGGCAGTTGCTTTTTCTCAGCCACTTTTTAAGTTTTCAGACTCATCATGTGTTTCTCTGCGTGGCAGGCACACCTCCATAGTTGTGCACAAGGATGAGTTCTTCTTCGGCAGTGGTGGTATCTCCAGCTGTCCCCCGGTGAGTTTCTCCCCGTCATCTTGACCCACAGTCTGGAGTTCTCTTCTCGGGGTTTCCTGTAGACCGGGAACTTTGCTTCTGCTGTATACCAATGGCTTCTTCTAGCTCCATGTGTGGAGGCCCACGGCATGGTTCCTCATAACCTAAAGCCATCAGTGCTGTCCTCAAACCCGGGCTGGCCATGTGAGATCTGGCTTCCTCTGCAGCAGCTAACCACTGTGCAACAGGGCAGGCCCAGCAGTCACTCCTGATTTCTGCCTCTCACTTTCTCTGCATCCCCATCTCCTAACAAATCCTCACTAAGCCCAGGCACTGTACCTTGTGCATGTAGCTTACATCCGCCTGCCTTTCTTCATCTCAGTCCATTTCTCCAGCCGTAATCTTAATCCAGGCCACCCTCAGATCTAACCTGGGCCATGGCAGCAGCTTCCTGGTCTCTGCATCTTCTCTTCTCTTTTTGTTTTTTTCAAGAGGTTTTTGCTATAGGGCATGTGCGCTCGCCAGAAAGACAGAGAGAGACAGAAAGTGAGAAATCACCCCCCCGGGGAGATGGCCACACTACAATCCTTTGTCCTCCATTCTCCTCTCGGGATCTTGCTAGGACTTGAACCGCGGTTGATTGCATGGGAGTTCAGCAACATAGCCATTCCATTACGCTAACTGCTGGTCCCACATCTTCTCTTCTTAGTCAGGTATCTACATCTGAGCGCAAGTGTTTTTCAAAGCGAAAATCCATGGGACCAGCAGGAGCCATAATGATTATGTTGCTGGACTCCTACATGGCTGACTGGGTTTTGAGTCCCTGTCCCGGCAACTTGAAATTCATGGCAGGAATTTGTGTGTGTACATGCCCAAAATCCTGGGAGGGGAATGGAAGAGAAGGGATTGCGGTGCGGCCATCCCCCATGATGTCTCATTTTCTGTTTCTCTGCCTCTCCAGTGAGCACACACAATCTATGGCAAAAACCTCTCTCAAAAAATAAAGTGAAAATCTGGTCATGGCACACCCTGCCTATGCCAGGATTCTCTCACTGCTCTTGGAATAAAACCCAGAAAGCTCAGTATGGCCTCCAAGGCCCTGTCTGATCTGGTCTCTGTCTTCCTCTCTGGCCCACCTTTTTTTTTTTTTTTAGAGAGATTTTTTGCTATAGGGCACGTGTGCTCTCCAGAAAGACAGAGATAGAGAGATAGAAAGCGAGAAGTCACCCCTCGGGGGGCGTGGCCACGCTGCAGTCCCTTCTCCTCCATTCTCCTCTCAGGATCCTGGGCAGACATGCACACGTGCCCATCGTGAATTTAAGCCACCAGGTCCAGGACTCGAACCACGGTCAACTACACGGGAATCCAGCGACAAAGCCATTACGCCAACTGCTGGTCCCAGACTCACCTTTTTTTGGGTTGTGTCTCCTGGTCCCTTCACCTGCTTATGCTTCTCTATCCCTCAGACTTGAGCTCAATGTCACTTCTTTGAACAAGTCTTCCCTGACCCCTCAGACTGAGAAGTCCCCAGTTACGTGATGATGGCAGTCTGCACTTTCCCAGCATGACCCTCCCAGCAGCTCATAATCATACACTATTTTTTGTTACTTTTAAAAAAAAGTTTCCCAGAGGGCACATGTACTCAACAAGACAGAAAGAGGTAGAAAGCAGCCCCCAATGGGGCATAGGCATGCACACACTATGTTTTTCAAGGCACTGGGTCTAGAATTCAAACCACATGGTCAGCCATGTGGGAACCAGCTCCTTAATGACCACAGGGCTTGCCCATACACTGGTTTATAGGATTTTCTTTTTTTTCTGCCTTCCTTGCTAGACTGTAAGTTCCATGGGGGCAAGAATCTCATCTGTTTTGTCCACATCATACCCCCATGCCTAGTAAGTTCTCCATACTACGTGTTTGCTATATGAGTGAATAACAGTGACCTTTTAGTCTCTGACAATTCAGATCATTTTTCTCTAACCACCACAATTACCTATTCTGCTCACCATGCTTTCCCAGTGCCTAGAATAAGGCCAAGCACACCTTGGGTGCTCTGTTACTATGAATTAGTGGTCTTTTCGGAGAGTCTTGCTCTGGAGGAGCCTCCCTTCCCAGGTCTGTCCTGCCCAGTGATCCTGTTGCTTCCCTTTGGTGAATCTTCCGGCTGGAATTCAGTCTCTCCTGTAGTTTCCTGTGGCCGTCTGTCACCCCTGTGCCTGAGGGTTTTCTATAGGCCTTTTAGGGGCCTTAACTCCCTTGCCCTATCACCATCAATAGATTAACCTTCCAGATCAAAAAATAATTGAATTGTGGAAATACATGCCAGCTTATCAGATTTCTGTGGTTCTTCCTTTTTCTCTATTGTTACAAGGATTGTAAAGTATGTCACAACAAAAAATGGCTGCATATAGGCATGGAGAAATGGTCTACCTGGTGGGAGACATTTCTGGTCATCCTGTTTGTCCTTATAATCAGGCCTGTTGGGGTCAAAAGGAGACTTCAGATTCAGGGTTTCTTTTTATCAACCGAAGGAAGAGGACAACGTAAGGCATCAGACCTGTAAGAAATCAGGTGCCCTGGGTCCCACTAGAAGCAAGAAGCCCAACTTCTCAGCCCTGCTACGGAAAGTCACCAGCAAGCCTTAAGCCATGGTAATCTTGATACAAACAGCAAATACAAACAATCTTCATCTGCCCAGGGCACTCTGGGAGTTAAAGATGAAGGTGTTGGATCAGAGCATTTGTGGTCTTCTGTGGGAAGCCATGGTAAAAAAAAGTCAACAGAAATGGTGCTTAATGACTTTCTTTGGGTTGGCTCTTTTAGGGAGGGACATTGCTTGGGCCCCCTGACTCTGTGGTTGATGTGGGGAGCACAGAAGTCACAGAAGAAATCTTTCTGGAGTACCTGTCCTCCCTGGGGGAATCTCTGTTCCGGTGAGTGGAGACAGGGGTGGTGGTTGTGTCCCATCCCCCTTGGAGGGCAGCCACTGTGAGCCCTCAGCAGAGGGCCTGGCCGGTATTTGCTGAGTGAAATGAAGAGGCCATTTTCATGCTGCAAAAGGAATTCCAAGTTGTTCCGAGGCAGATATTTCACCCCAGCGTACTTTCTGCTAAAACTTTGAGAGGACAGAACAGCTTGTGATTAAAATTAGGTAGTACTGCTCTCAGACAGTCTGAGTGCTTTGTTCTGAACATCAAAAATAGGGTCTATAGAGGGGTTGGGATGAAATACAAGCTTGAGCAGATTTCCTCACAAAGAAGCTTTAGTGGATTTCAGTGACTGTTAAACTTTAACCCTAACGCTGTGTTTTTGCAAATAGAATCTCCTGCAGCTATGCAGGAACCATGTATTTTCATTTCATCCTTCCTTTGAGAATCAGTTCTTAATGGTCCAGAGTGACAAATCAAACAGTCCTTTTGGTGTAGGAGAGAGAGGGGAACCGCAGTCCTCACATTCAGCTGTGCTTATCATTCCACTGCCTGGTTTGAGCAATCCCACATAGACACTGGCTGGTTCCCTCATATCTGCTCTCAAACCTTTCTTACATGTGCAGAGGTGAGGCCTACAACCTCTTTGAACACAACTGTAACACCTTCAGCAACGAAGTGGCACAGTTCCTGACTGGGCGGAAGATCCCTTCTTACATCACTGACCTGCCCTCTGAAGTCCTTTCCACGTAAGTGTGGCCTCTGCCCCTGCCCTGCCTTGGCCAACCCTGCAAATCCCCATTCTGTGTTGGTGCCCTGATTGCAGCAGAAACCTCCCAGGAGGCAGGCCGTCCTGATGGGTGGTGCTGCCACAACAGGCCTCTGCTCTCACTACCCACTGATGTGCACCGGTATTACCTCCACCCTGCTTGTAGTTGGGCCAACCATGCCCTGGCCTGAGTGCAACCACAGAACTTTGAAACCACCTGGCTTGAGTATTTGAACAAACTCCTGGCATATGTCTTTCCCATTGTGTGTGAAGCATGCCACTTCCTGGAAGTGCCCAGTTAAAAGGCCGTGATGGGCGCATGTGTGTGCATGCCCACAATCCCAGGAGGAGTATGGAGGAGTAGGAATTGCAGTGTGACTATCCTCCCCTGGGGTGGTGATTTCTCACTTTCCCTTTCTGTCTCTCTGACTCTCCCGCAAGCACACGTGCCCTATGGCAAACACCTTGAAAATGTTTTTTAAATGAAAAGTGCCAAGTTGGATCAACAAGCAGAGAAGAGGTCAGAGTAGCAGCAGGATGGCTTGATTGTGACTTGATTTGTCTTTCTTTTGCTGCAGCATGAGTGCTTTGACTCCCCCTTGCTCTCACACCTTAAAGCACACAGTTGTCCTCAATAGATGTTTTCTTCCAGAACACTCTGTAGCCCCTCCTGCCCTGAGGTGGTCTAAGCCTTGGAGGCCGTGAGGGCCATCACCCCAGCAGTGTACAGGCAGCCTCTACCCTCTCCAACTCATGCCCATTTACTGCTTCTGACTCTGTGTCTCCTGAACAAAGGTCCTGTCCAACAGGGATCCTGGCAGGTTTAGCAGGCTCAGCAAGGTAGGCCATTTTTCATACCTCTGTAGGAACTTCTTAGGACAAACTTGCCTGAAAAATGAGGCTACTGGGTCAGGTTGGTGAGGAGTCGTAGCCACCCAGCTCTGGTCCTGCTTTCCTGTCCCTTGGTGGGTGTGCTAAAGCCACAGCTCTGCTGAGGGATCTGGATTATGGGCCTCTGAGCAAATTGGAGTAGCTGGAATATTCTTGCTGGTACTATGTGATGGTGAGAGGCTTAGACTTAACTGAATCAGAGTTGGTATTTCTAGGTTTTGTCTCTACTCTTCAGATATTTCATTCCCTTTGAACTTGGGGTGTTTCGGGTTTTTTTTTCTAATAGAGGTTTTTTGGCCTTAGGGCATATGTGCTTGCCTAGAGAGATTGACAGAGAAAGAGACAGTGAGAGGGAAAGTAAGAAATCACCCTCCATGGGGACCAGCAGGTGGCATGGTGGTTAAGCGCAGTCCTCACATTCAGCTGTGCTTATCATTCCACTGCCTGGTTTGAGCAATCCCACATAGACACTGGCTGGTTCCCTCATATCTGCTCTCAAACCTTTCTTACATGTGCAGAGGTGAGGCCTACAACCTCTTTGAACACAACTGTAACACCTTCAGCAACGAAGTGGCACAGTTCCTGACTGGGCGGAAGATCCCTTCTTACATCACTGACCTGCCCTCTGAAGTCCTTTCCACGTAAGTGTGGCCTCTGCCCCTGCCCTGCCTTGGCCAACCCTGCAAATCCCCATTCTGTGTTGGTGCCCTGATTGCAGCAGAAACCTCCCAGGAGGCAGGCCGTCCTGATGGCAGGTGCTGCCACAACAGGCCTCTGCTCTCACTACCCACTGATGTGCACCGGTATTACCTCCACCCTGCTTGTAGTTGGGCCAACCATGCCCTGGCCTGAGTGCAACCACAGAACTTTGAAACCACCTGGCTTGAGTATTTGAACAAACTCCTGGCATATGTCTTTCCCATTGTGTGTGAAGCATGCCACTTCCTGGAAGTGCCCAGTTAAAAGGCCGTGATGGGCGCATGTGTGTGCATGCCCACAATCCCAGGAGGAGTATGGAGGAGTAGGAATTGCAGTGTGACTATCCTCCCCTGGGGTGGTGATTTCTCACTTTCCCTTTCTGTCTCTCTGACTCTCCCGCAAGCACACGTGCCCTATGGCAAACACCTTGAAAATGTTTTTTAAATGAAAAGTGCCAAGTTGGATCAACAAGCAGAGAAGAGGTCAGAGTAGCAGCAGGATGGCTTGATTGTGACTTGATTTGTCTTTCTTTTGCTGCAGCATGAGTGCTTTGACTCCCCCTTGCTCTCACACCTTAAAGCACACAGTTGTCCTCAATAGATGTTTTCTTCCAGAACACTCTGTAGCCCCTCCTGCCCTGAGGTGGTCTAAGCCTTGGAGGCCGTGAGGGCCATCACCCCAGCAGTGTACAGGCAGCCTCTACCCTCTCCAACTCATGCCCATTTACTGCTTCTGACTCTGTGTCTCCTGAACAAAGGTCCTGTCCAACAGGGATCCTGGCAGGTTTAGCAGGCTCAGCAAGGTAGGCCATTTTTCATACCTCTGTAGGAACTTCTTAGGACAAACTTGCCTGAAAAATGAGGCTACTGGGTCAGGTTGGTGAGGAGTCGTAGCCACCCAGCTCTGGTCCTGCTTTCCTGTCCCTTGGTGGGTGTGCTAAAGCCACAGCTCTGCTGAGGGATCTGGATTATGGGCCTCTGAGCAAATTGGAGTAGCTGGAATATTCTTGCTGGTACTATGTGATGGTGAGAGGCTTAGACTTAACTGAATCAGAGTTGGTATTTCTAGGTTTTGTCTCTACTCTTCAGATATTTCATTCCCTTTGAACTTGGGGTGTTTCGGGTTTTTTTTTCTAATAGAGGTTTTTTGGCCTTAGGGCATATGTGCTTGCCTAGAGAGATTGACAGAGAAAGAGACAGTGAGAGGGAAAGTAAGAAATCACCCTCCATGGGGACCAGCAGGTGGCATGGTGGTTAAGATACTGGACACTCCCATATGGCCAACCATGGTTCGAGTCCCTGACCTGGTGTCTTGCTTTCTTGCTTTTTCTCTCTCTGCATCTCTCTCTAGTCAAATTAAAATAAATGAATAAATAAATAAATAAATTTTAACAAAAAAGAAAGAAAGAAATTACCCTCCAAGGAGATGGCCTTGCCGTAATCCCGTCACTTCCATTCTCCTCCCAGGATCTTGGACACATAATCACATATGCCTGGCGTGAGTTTCGAAAGCTTGAGCCACCATCAACCATGCGAGAGTCTAGCATCCTAGCCACTATATCATCTGCTGGCCCCAGGGATGGTATTTTTAAATGGCAGTATTGGGCCAGTAGGTAGCATGGTGGTTAAAGTGCTGGATTCCCACATGGCTGACTGTGGTTCAAGTCCCAGGCCTGGCAGCTTGAAAATTACTCCAGATTGGGACCAGCAGTTAGCGTAATGACTATGTCTCTGGAGTCCCATGTAGTCAACTGCAGTTCAAGTCCTGGACCCGGTGGCTTAAACTCACACCAGGTTCGTGTGCATGTGTGCCCAGGATACCAAGAGGAGAATGAAGAAGGGATTGCGGCATGGCCATCCCCTCTTGGAGGGGGTGATTTCTCCCTTTCTGTTTCTCTGTCTCTCTGGTGAGTGCACACGCCCTATAGCAAAAACCTCTCAAAAAGAAAAGAAAGAAAGAAAGAAAGAAAATTACTCCAGGGTGTGTGTGTGTCCCCAAAATCTCTAGAGGACAGTAAAGAAGAAGAGATTGCGATGTGGCCATCACTACTGGGGTGTGATTTCTCACTTACCCTTTCTCTGAATCTCTCTGTCTTTCTCCAGCAAGTGTACACTCCCTATGGCAATAACCTTAAAAAAAAAAAAAAAAAAAAAAAAAAAAGGCAATGTCCTCCAAAGGAAAAGCCAGTAACCGAGAGGCATTGTGAGCAGCCTTATCTACGGTTGCAGTAATCCAGGGGAGTCTCCAGCCCCCAAGGCTGGCGGTGATTTCTCCAGCTTTCTCTGAGCGTCCTTAAGGAGTGGCATCATTACCTTCTGGCACCCTCACATTTGCCATATTCCTTCATTCCCCTGGACTACCTGGAAGACCTTGGGTCCTGAAAGAATTGTGTGCTGTCTACACTCACTCCCACCTGTACCCTCTTTTTCATATCCTTTTCCTTTTGCCTCACCCTTCTCATTTAAATGTTATGTTCATCTTGTTCACAAAAGTTAAAAATACAAGCACAGGAAGTGCAGAAAATGGCCCAGAGGGTGGCATGGTGGTTAAGGTGGCTGGATCCCACATAGCCAACTAGGTGGTTTGAGTCATGGACGTGGTAACTTGGAAAACATGCCAGGTACATGCGCTTGCATGTCCAGAAACCCAAGAGAAGAAAGGGTTGTGGTGTGACCACCCCCTCCTGGGGGGAGGTGCTTTCTCATTTTCTCTATCTGGTGAGCACATGCACCCTGTGGCAAAAAAGAAAGGAAGGAAGGAAGGAAGAGAGAGAGAGAGAAAGCAAGCAAGCTCCAGCTCCATGTACAGCCAGCCCGTCGCCTGTTCCCACCATGGCTAATCAGGCCCCGGGAGTGAGGGTGGTGAGATGGATTGCCTACCAAGGAGTGGGCCCAGGAGTGAAAATGAAGGGACAGTGCCCTCTAGGAAAGTTGGTGTACGAGGCAGGTGAGGCGATAGATCGGGTAACCCAGGAGGTTCCTGGTCCGTGGTGCTCCCACCTCCCTACCTGTGGGCAGGCTACCTCCCGGAGCCCACTCAGCTTAAGTCTCTGTTCCCTGCAGGCCCTTCGGACAGGCACTTCGGCCCCTCCTGGACTCCATCCAGATCCAGCCTCCTGGAGGGAACTCCGTGGGCAGACCCAATGGCCAGAGCTAACAGGACTGCACGGGACCGCCCTGCCCCCCAGGGCTTTTCCTTTTTAAACAAAACAAACCCTATCAGAATTCTATTTTATAATTTTACATCAGAGCTAACAACCAGGGGACGGCTTTTTAAATTTCCCAGGGAAGGAGATCATCAGGCTGCATGTAGGACAATGCCGCTAAGAAACAGAACAAAGTGCCATCCCTTCTAAGAGTATTATACTAATTTATTAAGGCTATCTTGTCTGTGAGTTCACTTCTGACGCTGTTTCCTAAGCGTCCTACACACTGGAGTAAAGGAGGGGTTTGTTTAAGCAGAAAGCAAGAGACACTGTTTGGGGGGAACCCCAGTCTAGAACCTCTTTTCAGAAAATATCCAAGCTCTACCCGGGTTGCCAATACTTGTGTAAACCAGGCGAGTTTTACAACCTCCATGACCCGGAAGCAGTTACTCTAGTGTTAATGAACCAAAGGAGTTGGTGTAATCGGGACCAGTTTCAGGATGCATTACCCCAGCCTCAGTGAATTCTGTAGCCCTAACCTCTCTTACCTTCTCTTCCCTTCCCCAAGCAAGGCCACGAGGCTGGAGCAGGAATAGCCAGGGCCTCAGGATAAAGGCAGAGTGACCCAGGTATCGGGCAGAGAAGACAGGATAAAGCCATTTCTCCTTCACCTAGATTGACTGTCAATCCTCTGCCATCGATTTTGGAAAACCTGCCTTGTGTCCCGTGAGGTTGCTCTTCCTCAACCCAGCTGACCTGTCGTAGTTGATGAAGGACCAGACTGACGTGGCAGAGACCCGGGCCTTTGGTCTGCTCATAATGGTGTGGGCCTTTGCAGCAATTGGACCCACCCACCCACCCACACTAATATGCAATATTTGTCTGGGAACCAGGAGGGCCTTTGGTCTACGGGAATACCTGATATAGAAAGAATAATGATGCAGAATCAAGGTAGCAGGGAAATTCAGAGTTATTTCTGTCTGACTTTAAGGAAATGTGGTTGGGGTGTGAGTGGGCACTTTCCTGACTTGCTGCTAGCAGTTAATAGGCAAAGAACAGTCTGGCAGCCTCTGATATCGAGAGGCTAGCAGATACCCTGTCTTCATGTGCCCCTGCCACCCCCACTTGTTAGTTTCTGTGGAGAAGGGACTCTGAGCTGCCAGGGGCCTGAGTCTCAGCTCTGACTTCCCTGGACCCTTGCTACCACAGTTCCTGGCCTCTTCTCAGACTTGAATTATGTTTTTCTCAGGGGTCTGGCCTGTGTAGGGCCTTTCCTCTCCAAAAAGCAGCTGCTCAACCCTGGCCTCACCCTGCTGCTGCCTGCCATTAGCCATAGCAGTTGGCATCATCGGGACTTCGGCTAGAGGGAAGAAAGTCATTCTGCCTTCTTATTTTTCTGTGGCCCGGCCAGGCCTGTGTCCAGCTGGGATGTCAAGTGACATTTTAGAGCTTGAAGATTGGAGGCTAAGCAAGTGAGCAGTGTTCCTTCTTCTCCAGACCCCCTCGACCGCCAGTGCACGTGGCTGTGATCGGTTAGAGCAGGGCCTATTGTTTGATGTTGCGTCCAAGGAGAGCAGCTTTCAGACACCAGGTTTCTGCCGGGAGGGTAGCAGGTTGGTCTGGGCCATCGCTCCACCCCTGCTGGCATTCTTGCCTTTTCTAGTTTGCTAGTACAGCCTGAAGGGCTCGCCTCTCGGGAGGGCACCAGGCATCCTGCCACTCCCCATGCTCAGGCTCAGCTGGTTTTGCTCCTCGTGGCAGTCACCCTCAGACACTGGGCTATTCTGAGAAGTTAGCCCAGTGGCTCCCTGAGAGACTCAGTCTCCGTTTCTTGAACAGCCCCTTCATGGTCAGCAGCCATCGGTGCCGATGCCTGTGCCCTCGGGTGTGTGGAGAGGTGGAGGACCAGAGCAGTCTTCCCAGAGCTCTGTTGGAAGGCAAGCCCTCCCTCCCTGCGCCAGCCCCACTGTCATTAACTACGGCAGCCCGTGCTCAGGCAAGGCCCCCTCTGCCCGCTCCTCACATTTCTCTACCCCTAAGCCTCAGGAGCATGCTCAGTGTGACCAGCTGTGCACGTGAGCGTGCCCAGGCAAGCAGAGTGGAAAATGAGTTGTGTACTGTATTACGCAGAGGGCCCTGCATAGCAGTCCATTGGTGTAAAGGGACATGGAAGGAGGGGGGACAAGACTGTCTCCCACTTCAGGAATAAAGCTTGTATGTTTGAGATTCCTTTATGCCCTTGAAGTCAAACTGTTAACTGCATTTAGTACGGAGGTATTTCTTTGGTGTTTTTTCTAATGCAATAAACTCATTTCTGCCTGCTGCGTTTGTGTAGTGTCTGATCACACATCCAACATGAAACAGCCCCAGGCTTCTCATCCTTCTCCCTCTGAGCTTACCTCTGCCCAGCCCCTGCCTGGTTGTGAGCCTTGTGGGTAAGAAGCAACACAAGCAGGGAGGAATCCATGACTTGGACCATTGCTTAATAAAGATGGGGAAAGCAGGCCCAGCCACAGTGACACAGGTGGCGGGGCGCCACTGTACAGTACCAGAGCCACACGAGAGGCCCAGGTTAACCTGCACATGCCAGGTGCACCCACACACGCCCATGATCCCTCAGTTGGGAGGCTGAGGGAGGGGTGGCGGCGTTGGCAAGATCTCGTGGGCGCACTTGTTACCCACCCCCATAAAATGAAAACAAATGGCAGGGGAAAATGCACTTACCCAAGGTCACCTCAGTGAGACATTTGGTAAATCTCAATACCAGGCCTGGTGGCTTCAAATCCTGAGGCCTTCCCCTGGAGGACCTGGGCCCTCAGGGTGTCTGACCTCACCAAGAAGCGTTCACTTCTAGTTTCAACCTGAGTAGTCTGAGGACCTTGAACAAGTACCAGGGCTCGTGGACAGCTCTCAGTGCCCTTGTACCACCAGATGCACCACCCTGGCAGGAGGTCTCAGCAGATTCAGGTGGCCAACTTTGTGTGAGCTCCTTCCATTGGGCAGTCCTGTACTGAGTGCTGTCACATATAGTGACCTAAGATGTGGCTGTTGTTGCCATTTGCAGAGGAGGAAACAGCATGTTTATGTAAAACTGCCTCATGGCTTTCCCAATGATCCAGTAAGTTATCCAGGGGGCAAGCTCAGCACCGGCTGAGCTTGCCTTGAATCTGGGCATGTCCCTACCACACCTCTAAGACCTCATCGAGGCTGCATTTTTCCAGTGTGCCAATTCTTAAATTTTAAGAATAAAACCAAGGTTGGTGCTGCAGATGGTGTGGAGGTTAAGGGCACTGGACTGACTGGTTTGAGTCCTGGACCTGGTGGCTTGCTTTCTCACTTTGTCTGTGTGTGTCTCTCCCTCTCTGGTCAAAATTAAAAATAAAGAAAAAAAAAAAAAAAGGATCTGGAGTTTCAGACCACACAGTACAGTACAGGGGGCTTCCCCTGACATATTTGCTTCTGAGGGCTGATAGGTTCAGAGGCAGAAGTTCTTACGTGCCCAATCAGTCCCAGCCACTGCAGCACAGCCGTGACACAAGTGTTCTGCAAGGCTGGAAACCATATTGTAACCACGGTGATCCCTGGGTTTGTCTGAAAAACATGCCAGGTGCACCTGGGATCCCGAGGAGCTGGGGAAGGGGAGCCACAGGGTGCTGGTGGGGGTGAGTGTGAAGCACAGGTTGATGCCTGGTGAGCATCAGGCTGAGGGCAGAACCTTCTGTTCAGCAGCTACTGGGGACTCCTAAGAGCCGCACCATGCAAGGCCCAGCCAATCCTCTCAGCCGAGAAGTTTACAAAACTGCCGTGGTCACATATCTGCCTGCTTCTGGGGAAAATGGCAGGTGGTCAGGCTTGGACTTTGGGACTTCGGCCCATTGGCCTCTGCGAGAAGGCTCAAGCTACCACGTGTGAAGCAGTGCAGGCCCTGCGCTAGAGTAGGGTGGGGGTGAGGCCAACCAGGCCCTTCCCAGCAGAGATTAAGTTCCAGGAGGGCTGGGAGATGAGGGTAACAAGGCCTAGGTGCTGGTGGTTGAGAAAAAAAACCAGGGCACCGCAGTGAGAGGGAACTTCCCGAGGAGGAAATATCTAATGTCAGACCTACATGATGGTGCAGGTCGAGGGGAGAGTGTCCAGGGCAAGACAAACAGCAAGTGGGAAGGAAGCACAGTGGAGGAACCGGGAGGAGGCAGGGCAGCAGCAGCATAGGAGCTAAGGGGTGGTAGAGTCACTGAGCTGGTAGGGCCCGGTGGGACAGGTCCTGTGGGTCCTGGGAAGCTGGAGAGTAAGAGCAGTGTACTGCTGTCGCAACAGACCATGGGCAGAGGTGGGCAGGCAGTGGAGAAACAGGACAGGCCTGCCAGGTAAGACAGGTGTGTGTGCATCTGCTACTTGCCTGGGTCTGTGGGGAAGCCCTGGGAAGGAGCTGGCCCCCGCCCTCCAGGAGCTCAGGTAGAGGGGCACGGAACAGCCACGGTGACGCCTGCAGAAGGGAGCCGGGGGTCTGAGGAGACACAGGGGCACGGAACAGCCACGGTGACGCCTGCAGAAGTGAGCCGGGGGCCTGAGGACACACGGGCACAGAAGAGCCACGGTGATGCCTGCGGAAGTGAGCCAGATGTCTGAGGGGACACTGTCAACTATTCACCCTGCCTCCAGGAGCTTTGTGCTACTCCAGCTTTGATTTAGGGTGAGACTGGATTTCTCTCATTTGTTTTTTTTAGAGGTTTTTGCTTTAAGGTGTGTGTGCTCATGGGGAAGAGACAGAAACAGTGAGAGACAAAATGAGAAATCACCCCCAGGGGACATGGCCATACGCAATCCCTTCTTCTCCATTCTCCTCTTGGGCACGCATGCACAAATGCCCAGTGTGAGTCTCAAGCCACCGGGTCCAGAACTCGAACCACAGTCGACCATATGGGAGTCCAGCAACGTAACCGCCACACCATCTGCTGGCCTCCAGATTTCTCTATTTTTTCCAAAATGATTTTTGTTATACAAAGATTATATATAATGCATCTAAAACATTTAAGTGACTGTTCAGAGTACAAAGATGAAAGGGGAAAAAATCACCCTTAGAAACCACTGTGCCCACTTCGTGAAGAGCCTTGCCTGTGTTCTGTGCACAGGAAGGCACACAGGCTATGCATGCCCTCTGGGACCTTGTTTTGTTCTCTCAACATCCAATTGAGGGGGGGGGGGGGAGGCTCTAATTAGAACATTCCAGCAAAGTTTTCCAA